CAGGCAGGCGCTTTTGCCGCTGAGCTAAATCCCCAGCCCCTAGGAACTCTTTAAAATGTCAGAAACCAGGGCTGGGGATTTAGCTCAGCGGCAAAAGCGCCTGCCTGGCAAGCGCAAGGTCATGAGTTCAGTTCCTGGTACCGGAGGAACCCCCCCCTCAAAAAAAAAAAAAGTCAGAAACCTCCAGAGGGGCGTGGGGAAAACTGAGACCTGACCTTCTCGTCTTCTCAGTGACCTGGAGGTGCTTCTACTGAGGAGAACTGCTTTTTCGTACTGGGATGGAGCCCACTGGCACTCAACCACTGAGCTACATCCTCAGCCCTTTTTAAAATTTTATTTTTTGATACAGACGCTTGCTACACAACCCCAGGCTGGCCTCTAACCTGCAATCCTCCTGCTTCAGCCTTTTGAGTAGCTGGGATTACAGGGGTGAGGCATGATTTTTATTCTCCTATAATATTAAAATTAGCATGGAGGTGTAGGCCTTAATTCCTGGCACTGATTTCACATACAATCAGAAAATATGATTATATACATATGTATATGATTACTATTATATACATGTGTGTTTTGTGTATATTATATACATATATGTGTGTATATATGTATATATGTTTGTATGTATATACATGTATATATGTACAATACACACATATATACATATATGTACATATATAAATTTTTTTCTTACAAACAAAATCTCAACTTGTTGAATTAAAATCAAACTAGCTGGGATTAGCCACACATGTCTCAAGTCCCAGCACTCTGGGAAGCTGAGGCAGGAAGATTTTAAGTGTGAGACCACCCAGCAAGGACAATTTAGCAAGACAGTATCTAAGATTAAAAACAAAAAAAGCTACTCATGTTTTTATACTTCTCTTGAAGTAACCCATGAGTTACGGGGAAAATCCAAGTATCCCTTCAAGTCCAGCCACAACCACATTTACCTGGAATAACTGCCTATTTGCATAAGGCTCACAGACCAATTTTTGCATATTGACACCAATGGTAAAAGTAAGCACGACGAGGATCATCAATAGCCAGCAAAAGAGGAAAGTGAATCCAACCCCACTGGAAAAGAATACAAATAAAGTTAATAATTCTACCGGAAGTATTTGATACTACCGATCAGTACCTACTCCCTCTACCTATTCATGGTGTAAATCGGAGCTGGAGTCCTCAGCTCACTGCAGGCTGAACAGGTCCGCCTGCCCAGGAGTGCGGAGGAAGTGGGTAGCACTGTGCTCTTTCTGTCCTTGACCCTTATGATGACAGCGCCTGTTACACCTACTGTCTAGCATGATAGGTCAGAGCCTGGACTTTGGAGTTGATTGAGAACCAATTCTTTCTGCAAGAGTGACAGAAAATAGAGAGAGTCGATGCTGGAACTGTGCTCTGGAGACTCTGAAAGGGGCTGACCTGGCTGTGCATCCACTTGGTGAAGGAGAGCAGCACAAGGGCCACTCCGGAGGCAGGGAAGGGTGCATGGGGGGCGCTGAGGGGGATCCCAGGAGGGGAAGCCATGGACAGGTATAGGAGGAGCACACTGTGAGGGCTGGGTTGCATAAGTGTGGATGGGGACCGTGACTGTGACCTGGGACGGTGGCCTGATAGGTCTGCTGGAGGTGGAAAGAAGTCAGTGGGTGAAAGACACACAGCATGGCAGGCAGACACAGCTGTGTAAGAGGTGAAGCCAGGAAGGGGTCCAAGGGTGGTGCTGGGAGCACTGACCTCTGCACCCAGACAGAAAGAGAAGCTGGAGTGGGCACTGGTGATCCTGCCAGGGAGACACCTCGGGGAAGAGGCAGTGCAGGAGTCTGGAGCACAGACACCTGGTTAGAGGGTGCAAGAGGTGTCACAGATGAGCATCTGCCACTGGGGCTGGACGGGAGAGGAAAGCAGCTCAGGACTGGCCAGGGGGACTCCGACTTTTGCCAAACAGGTGGCAGGAGGACAGCCAGGGGGCAAGACCAAGGGGAAAGTTGCAAAAGCAACATGGAAACCATGTGGGTGGGAGGTCGCTGAGGGCAAAGGAGAGCCTGCAGAAGGAGGGTATGGGTGATGCGGCAGCGAGCCACTAGAGGTACTGCTGCCCCACTCTCCTGGGACCAGAGGTCACTGCTGACTGGACAGGGTGGGGCGACAGTGGAGGAAGTGGAAGCAAAGTGCGGTCCAGACTCAAGGTGCTGTATAGCTCCTCATTCAGAGGATGACACTCCTGTTTCTTTTGCTTTGAAGGCAGAGGTCAGTCTTTGTTACACCCCTGAAAACAGTGTCCCCTGTGAAGCAGTTAAAGACGGACACATACATAGTCACCGCCAAGCCATGGGCAAAGCAGCCAAATACCAGGGCTTCGAAGTTGTTCAGAGTAAACCAACTTCCCACCGGTCTCTGTGTATTTGGGCAAAAACAATCAAAGCAAGCACATTTCCCCTTGCTGGTGTAATTTCCTCTCATTTATCCTTCCCTGACCAGAGACACTTGCATTTGAATGCAGTTTCTTAAATCTAGGCGTCTCGTGTGTGCAATTCTTTTTCAGGCCATGGGAGACCCCAGGTCACTGGCTTTGCGTTTATTTTGAAGACACTGCGTCTACATGAATGATAGCAGAGGCGTGTTCTATATTGGAGCTTAACTGTTTTAGAGAAAGGACTCAAGATTCACGGTTCATAAGAAACTCAATGAATTACTACAGTGACCCTGTGTTTAGAAGACAGATTACTGCACACCACCTGCCCTCCCGCCCTCCCTACCCCCACAGAGTGATACTCATGGGCGGATGAGAACAGGCGGCTGATGTTTTGGTTCTCTATTCCCTGAAGGAGTCGTTCTGAATCTTTCAGCCCCATCACACACTCCACAGCTGGTTCAGAATGAACTTATCTCAAAAGAGCCACAAGTTTACGCTCTGGCTCTGGCCCTGGGCATGCCCAGCTCTGTCCACCAGGCTGTCACAGCCTGTTCCAGTAAAGGTCTTCCAAAGGCAGGAACTTGCACGGGGATGTCTTTGTAGGGACAAGTGCTCTAAGCTGCCATAGGCTTACCATTCACCGGCATCTAGCACCCACGCTTGTCCTTAATTAAGGCTGCTTGTCTAAGTACTAAGGGTGCTGGTGGGGAGAACTCTGACTCCCAGTTGCTAGAGCTTCAAGCTGGCAGCTCTGCTGACCATGGAGAACGGTGTCTCAGAGGAGGTCAGCTCAGTTTCTGATGAAGAGATGAGTGAATGAATGTGGTAAGGAATGACGCTCCCTCAGCAGATGGATGGGTAAAGATAGAGTGGTATCTATACACAACGGAGCGCTACTCTGCCATAAAGAAGGATAAACTTGAGTCATATGTATGAAAACAGATGCACCTTGAAACCATAATGTTAAGTGAAGTAAATCTGACACACATGTTTACATATCACATGGTTCCTCTTATATGAGAAACCTAAAGTATAAATACTTAAAGTGCAAAATAAAAGCAGATGATAAGAAACAAGGAGATAGATCTCTTGCAGATGGAAAAGGGACCAAGAGCTGGAGGGAGAAGGGAGGAAGGGGAAGGGAAGAGACTCTAAAAAGAACCGAGAGGTTATGCACATGTGACAACTTCCCACAGTGAATGTAATCACTATGTACTGCAGACTTTTACTAATAAAAATGAAAATCAAAAAAGATAGCAGGAGGAACAATGGATATAAAGAAGACCAACTTGGAAGTGGTTTCCATAACAGCAAATTTCCAAGGAGCCCACCCTATGTAAACAGCACACTTAAGCTGGTCACCAGATGCAACCAATTTACAATGTCTTTTTACTTGTTTGCACTTGGAGAGGGATCCATAACTGAGAAAGAACCATGACAACAAGAGCCCTGCTCCAGGGAACCAGAGCGTGTGGCCTGGGGGCACTGCCTGGCCCCCCCCCCCTCTTCCTACCCGCGTGGCGTAGGCATCACACTCACACCATGAGGAAGATGCCTCCCGTGTTGGACACGCAGCCTCTGCTTGTCGGGGTGGCATGCTCGTCAAAGCCCCAAACGCCACAGAACAAGCCCAGGTAGAAAAAGACCACGATGAGGGTTGGGAGGAAGCAGGTAATCAAGGTCCCCAGCCACCTGGTAAAGCAAGCACAGTGTTAAGGACCAACATAGAGACACCATCAGGGCATGGGTGTTGCTGATTAAGGCTGGAGTGTGTGTGTGTAGGGGACTCCGGACCATCTATGAAACACAAAGGTTCATTGAGAATTCCTCAGAGGGCAAGACCCCATCCAACCCCTCCTCCTCCAGCCCAGCCACCAGGGACATGGTTAGCCTTGATGCGCTCTTTCAGCGATCATGACATGCTTGCTTTCTTTTTTTGAATTTACACTGATAAAATATCCTTAAGACTCTCCAGATCTTTCAGCATTCCTGATATTGGAAGATGAGGGAAGATTATGTGGAGATTACAGATGTAGAAACACCAGTCTCTTTTCTGTGGCCTTTCTCTAAAACATTCTCTGGCTGCAGGAATGTTCTGGGTCATCGTGCTCTTTACTAAACTGGAAATGGTCTACGTGGCAGGAGCATGGGACATTTAGAATTTTATGAGCCTCCTAAATCAAACGCCTGCAGAATGCAAATCTCAATTTTGTAACGGGCCTGGGAGACCTTGTAGGGTAATGGAGGTGCAATTAGGTCTTACCGGCATTTCCGGAATAAACAGCAACCTTTCCCAGCAGTAAGGAGTATTCAAGGGTAGAAATTGCTCCCCAACATTTAAGATACAGAAAAACAAAAGAATCTGCTCTGCCTGGTGCCTCGCAACAAAATCACCATAAAGCTTATTATTCAATTAAGAGCCATCTTGCTAATTACAATAATGGCCATCAGCAGCCATTCTGCAGAGGTTGGCTCCAAGTATTGGCGACACAAAATTAAATAAGCCTTGGAGCCTGGCCTCAGAAAACTTTTAGAGTTAATCAATCATCTACTTAAATTTCTTTTTAAAAATAAGCTTATGGTCCTGAGGCAGAGGGAGGAGGAAGAGAGAGAGAGTAGCAGGCAGATAACTGCAATGTTTTTCTCATTTGTGAAGCTCTGATTGCTGTTGAGTTTGTAAGGTTGGGGGATGGTCTGTCTTATGTGTCTCCTGGTAACTTGCGGTGGCCTGGTGCTATAATGAGACATGGGTAGCACCCCTGAAATCTTTTCGATTCCAGGACAGTACTGGCACTGCCCGATGGGGGTGGAAACCCATCTGACAATCTTAGCTGACTTTCACTGAGTCACTTCATGTCCCTAACCCCCAAAATCCTCTTCTATAAAACATAATTGCAAGTAGAACACGAGCCAGGAGACTTTTTGTGGGTGTAAAGGAGCTGGCACACGGAAAACACTGGATGGGGCCAGTGAAACTCTCCTAATACTGGCAATTACTGTCATTATTTTATCATTGGAGGTTTCTTTTTCTTTTTTTTTTTGGTACTGGTAATCAAACTCAAGACTTTATTTACGCTTGCCAGGCAGGCACTTGTGCTGCTGAGCTATATCCCCGACCCCATTATTTTATCATTTATCTTGTGCTCTTCTACAAAACACAACCTGAATAAGAATGACTGGACTCTCCAAAGGTTCAGGCAGGACAGGTGTGGAAGCTGAGCCCTTCAGATAGGAAGTCCTTCCTCTAAATTTCCAAGCCCTCAAGTCCTTCCCTCTCCCACACTCCCTCTGGTGTGGTCACCCTGCAGGGCCAAACTCTACCACCCAAACTGTCTAAGCACTGAACACTGCACTGCAACTTAGCTTCGGGGCACAGCAAGGAAGACCGTGCGCTTTCAGCAAGAAATGACCTGGATGTGTATCTTACAAACCCATCAGCACAGAGTACTTCCCAAATGCCTTTCTGAATTACGCGTAAGCTTTACAGTCCCATTTCCTACCTGGCTTACTAAGTCCAATAAGATTCTGGAAGCACCTGACAATCGGAAATTGCAAATCGTTGCATATTTGGTTTCCAGAATCTTCTTAAATAATGGGGGAAGCGCTGAATCTTACTCAGGAGCCATGCAAATCATTACCCTTTCAATCTCCAAGCACTCACCAGTATGAGTCATATGTTTCCACCTTCTGCAAATTCTGGTGAATGTAAGTTTCAGTGTCATTGATATAACCAGTGACATTGGACAGCATACCCTGAATAGGAAGCATTTTAGCAACCTTCTTGATCTCTGAACTAACACCATTCAGGAGACGTTTGGCATCTGAAAATAGAGGGAATTCGTTATGTATTTTCAGACACAGAAGTCAAGGGAATTATGTCTTGGAACCAAACATGAACATTTGAGCCACCTTTGGTTTTTCTCATTTATGCGTGTGTTCAAAATAGAGTAAGATTCTATAGCAAGCCTGAGTAGAGCCAAGACCATCAAAAAGCAATGATATAACACAACAGCAAGCCATGAACACGGTCTTGATAAGATGATGCTGAAGTCAGGCCAGTGTCGTCTTCTTCCACTAAATTGCTAAAACAATGGACCAAGCGGGCCAGGCATGGTAGTGCACATCTGTAATCCCAGCACTCAGGAGGCTGAGGCAGGAGGACTGCCATGAGCTGGAGGCCAGGCTGAACTACATAGCAACAACGTACCTCAAAAAAAAGAAGACAAAAAAAAAAAAAAAAATGGAGCAAGTGATTAATACATATAGTTAATCACTAATGTGCCAGCCACATTAGCAAATGTTAATTTGTTTCCTCCACAGAGGCAAATACAGTACTTCTAATCCCCACTTTATGTACGGTGACCCTGAAGCTCACAGAGGTTACTTATCCATGGATCTCCTTTTAAGAAACCACCAGTAATGAGACTGAAATTAATTTTTTTTTTTTGTCGTTTTGAGACAGTCTCGATACACAGCTCAGGTTGACCTTGAGCTCACTCTGTAGCTCAGGCTGGTCTCGAACTCACAATAATCCTCCTACCTCAGCCTCTCGAGTGCTGGGATTACAGGCATGCGCCACCACGCCCAGCAAGATTGAATTTAGAGTGTATGTAACTCCGAAGCTCTGTTATATGACTTGGGAATAATAATAATGTCACACAACTAAGAAATGGTACTCAAGGACCAGTTATCTCCAGGACCGTATTTTGAGCAAGTGACCACAGGTGATATATTTGTTAAAATTTTGTTTGACTCTTAAAGAAATATATTTGGCCAGGGACAGGGGTGCATGCCTAGAATCCCAGCTATTTGGCAAGCTGAGGCCAGGGGACTGTGAGTTCAAGGCCAGCCCGAGCAATTTAGTGAAACTCAAAAAAAAAAGTGCATCCATGTCTTCTATAACTCGAAGAACAAAGGGATTCCCAGCGGCCACACGTATCCTAGCGATGTCCATCCTCATCCTCAGGGAGGAGGTGAGTTCAAAGAGACTGGCTTGGAGACCAGTGTCCATGCCAATGGGCCTCAGGTCACAGCTCCCTGGGTACAGTGTCACTAGGACCAGCAGTCACTGACTTCTGGGGTTGACTTTTTCCATGGTGACTTTTAGGTGTTTTTTCTTTTCATGCTGAAGAACCCAGGGCCTCTGATGCGCTAAGCGAGCCCTCACCCCAGGTGTACCTGCTCCGCCCCAGCTCAGTTCTTGCCATGGACATACTGAGGGCAGACTCAACAGTTACGAGTCCACTGGACCTCTAGAATCCTGAAAGAAAGAGCAATCTCCTAACAGCAGCAAAGACAAGTATGATCTGAGGCCTCTGGGGACCTTGGGGTAAATGGCAGAGAGAGTAGCCTGGTCTAAAATGGAATTGCATAAACATAGTGGGAACTTTTTTTTTTTTTTGAGAGAGAGGCTGTTTCTATATAGTTCAAGTAGGCTGGCCTCAAACGCACTATGTAGCCCAGGTTGGTCTCTTGAGCTCATGGCCATCCTCCTGCCTCAGCCTCCCAAGTGCTGGGATTACAGACATTCACCACTATGCCTGATGAGTGGGAACCTTTTTGAAAGTGTGTTTTCCACATGGATATGAAATTTAGAAACTAAAGAAAGAAAGGCCCAGACATGAACACAACCGGGGAGTCTGGATGTGGTTTCCGCTGAGTGCCATTATGGTGGTCCCGCGCCTCCCTGCATGGCTCTAGGGCAGGGACACCTGACACCTGAGGGCCTCGCCCCAGATGAGGCAGAGGCCTGGTCTGAACTCTAGGAGGAGAGAGCTGTGACATGCAGGCTCCTTAGTCTGCTGAGAGCAGCAACTAGGGTCCGCGTCCCTTCTCTGTCTGTCTCGCCCTCCCTGGGCACAGGGAGCCCGTCCCCTCAGTCTGGACGCAGCTTCCTCCAGGATGCCTCCCTCCCTCCCCCGCGTTCTCTGCATCCGGGCCTTGACCACCTTTAAGGGAGCGCGGGCCATCTTCGGGGTCGGGGCTGAAAGGCAGGGCTTGAGCCTCATGCGCTCACGTCCCAGCACCCGCAGAGCCTGGTGCCAACGAGACCTTCAAAGCACGTGTTCAGGCCAGGAGCCAAGGACCCAAACCCGAGGTGCCAGCCCAATGCCGGCGGCGCAGGCGCATCAGGTGTACTTGGCTGGGTCACCCTTACAGGGGCGCGGCACCACCCGGCAAGACACGACACGACAGGCAGAAGAGGTCCAGGGCTCTGTCAGACTGCAGAATCCATGAACAATTTATGGCACAATGCAAGTGGATGAAGTCCTCCCGACTAAAACTTTTTTTTTTTTGGTACTGTGAATAGAACTTAGGATCTTGCACTTGCCAGGAAGGTGCTTATACCGCTGAGCTATATCCCAGGCCCCTGAACCAAAACTCTTAATGCATGCAAGAACATTATGGGGCAGGGGGCAGGAATCATCACATACCATTAACACAATGTTTTAAAACCACTTGTAAACATGAAAGAACCACTGGGCAGACAAATGAGAGAGGGACGGAGCTGGGGTGGGGCCCTAACCAGCTGCAGAGGCTTTTTCTGAACAACCCCAAGTTTATGGTTCAAATAGCTGATTATAGGCCATTCTGCCTACACATTCATCCCAGTAGCATAACCTAAAGGCAGCACAGTTCAGTAATTTAAGAATTTATTTACTTGATGTTTAGAGACAGGGTCTTGCTATGTACTATAGTTCAAGCTGGCCTTGAAGTAGCTCTGTAGCCCAAGCTGACCTTGAACTGGAGGCAATCCTCCTGCTTCAGCCTCCCAAGTGCTGGGATCACAGGTGTGCACTACCATGCCCAGGAGTGATTTAAGAATTTAGATCCTCTTAAGAAAGATTCTGTCTCTCTAGAACGTTACACAACCTTAGGAGCCTCAAATACCATTGCATCAACATAGTGGGCAGACAAATAAAAAAATTCCAAAAGGACAAAATAAATCTTCATACACAGTATTCAGTAAATAAATTAATTTTTTAAAAATCCTTTTTTGGGGCTAGGGATTTGGCTCAGCAGCACAGGCACCTGCCTGGCAAGCACAAGGTTGTAAGTTCGATTCCTGGTACTGGAAAAAAACCAAAAAAAAAAACCCCACAAAACAAAAATCCTTTTTTTTTTTTTTTTTTTTTAAAGAGTAAAAGAAGGATAACATAATAATAGGGGGGCTTACCAAATTACAGGCAAAGTGGTAGGAAAGGATCACTTGGCCAGAGGAACCTGTAAGGATGGAAGCAAGGCAAGATTCATTTCTTTTTTTTTTTTTAATCCTTTTTTTTTTTTTTTTTTTCTCCAGATAAAAACAAGCAGAACATGACCTTCCAAACTTCTGTAGGAGCCCACAGTGGGCACTCACCATTGTGCTATGGCTGTCACAAAGCCAGCTGGCGCCGTGAACTGTCTTAAATGAGAGTTTTATTTTTAAGTCTATGTCACTGATTGGAAGTGACATAAGTGAAAAGCTCTGATATTCATTCAGTGACAATAAACTACTTTTTAGACCAGAACCATATGATTCATAGCACAGCTCTTTTCTCTTTCTTTCTTTTTTTTGGTACCAGGAATTGAACTCAGGACCTTGCACTTGCCAGGCAGGCGCTGTGCCACTGAGCTACCTCCCTGGCCCAACCACACAGTTCTTAACAAAATAACCAAGAGACAGATACAAAGTGGCCTAAAAAGAAGTCTCACCTCGTATGATCCCCTCAGTTTGTGCTTTCACATCCTCTGGTATATTGTCAAAGAATGCATAGCCCTAAAAAATATTTCAAAATAAATTGATGCACAGGGTAAGCTGAAGAACAGTACTTATTTTTCAGTTTCGTATGGAATATAGAATTAAAATAAAAATACAGCATTTATTCTAAGGCAGAAATTACCCGATATGGTCATCAAGTATCTGACAATAACAACAAAAATTCCATGTAGAAAGCATTTACCTTAAATTGAATAAAGGCAAGATCTTGTTAAAAGTTCTGAGCATAGAGTGTTTTCATAATTTTAAAACCAAGCCGTCTGCTCACATGGATTCTAGGGATTACTATGGATACAAACATCTATCTGTACCTGGGGTTCTCACGGGGGGCAGTTGGGTGATCCCTGGAGGTATCATTGTCATTGTATCATTTTCACCGTCACAGCTGGGAGGTGTTGCTGGCACTGTGTAAGTTTAGGCTGGTGATGCAAATACACACCCTACAGTGCCCAGGAAAGCGTCCTCCAGCCCAAGCCACTAGTGCTGAGGCTAGGAGACCCCGGGATGCATAGAGTGCCAGTGCAGCTAAGAAGTGGACTTCTAAAGATAGGATCTTTCTCTGCACAGCAATTATGAAAGGAGAGCTAGTCTCACAGAAGTAAAGAAGTAATCCCCAAGCACAGTTTATAAAGAATACAAATGTAGGAAGGCTAAAACTAACGCACAACAAAAACCACACCAAGCTCTACCGCTTGGGCTAACTCAGGAGAGGGGAGTGTTATTTCTAAAGACCATCTCTAAATGCCCAGCCTTGCCTCTCGAAGGGGTTGAGCTAGAGCTTCACTGACTACTGGTGTGGACAGCTGTGTGCTAGGGAATTCTGTAGCTGGTGCTCACAGCCTGCATGAGATTTACGGTGCCTGCTTTTCCACTGCTGGTGGGAGTGTAGACTGGTGCAACTGCCATGGAAATCAGTGTGGAGATTCCTCAGAAAATTAAAACTAGAGGTTCCATTTGATCCAGCTATTCCCCTTCTTGGTATCTTCCTGAAAGAATTAAAAGTAACATACCACAGCAATGTATGCACACCCATGTTTATAGCGGCCCAATTTGTAATAGCTAAATCTTGGGAACAGCCCAAACGTCCATGGATAAAGATGTGTTGTTTTTTTTTGTACAATGGAGTACTACTCTGCCATAAAGAAGGATAAACTTGAGACATTTGTAGCTAGACCATTTCTAGACCATACTTTTAAGTGAAATGAATTGGACACACATGTTTTAAATATTGCATTGGTGTGAGAAACCAAAAGGGTAAATAAGGAACAAAATGTATAATGGATATTGTGAAATAGGAAGAAAATGTTTAAATGGGAAGCAGAAAAGGGAGGGGGAGGGGGAAAGGAAGGAAGGCTAAAGAAAAAAGAAAAATAGAAGGAAAAAATGGAAACAAACTTTTGTAAGTAAGGAGGGAAAGAGGGATTGAAGGAGAGGAGAGGATTGGGGGGAAAAAAATCAAGATATATTGTGTAGAGAGACCAATTTCCCTATGATGAATGTGATCATTACATCTAAAATGTATTAAGAAACTTAATTAAAAAATATCTTTGTATACAGAAAAAAAAAATTTACGGTGTCTGCCACTTTCTACTCTTGCCTTCTGTGTCGTAGGCCATTCAAAGAAGGGCAACTTCGTTCCCTCAGAGGCCAGCTTACCTGGTTTTCCACATGCGGGAGTCCTCTAGTTTGCCTGCGTTTGGACTTATCACCCATCCACGGGGGTTCCTGGCCCCCTGTGGGGGATCTTGCAGTTATCCCAGTTCAGCTCTATCATTTCACAAATGCAGGGTGCAAAGAGCAAGGCTGTCCAATGACTTAAGGGGACCCTACCTTATCAGCATGTGTAGATGCCTGTTTGACAAATTGAGACCTTTTTGCACCAGTGTGTAACAATTCCTAGAGTTGTGTGAGCAAATAGGTTGATCTTTTAAATTATGGAAATATTCTACGTGAAAAACTTCTTTTTTTTCCCTGTACCGGAAATCGAACTCATGACCGTGCGCTTGCCAGGCAGGCACTGTGCTGCTGAGCTAAATTCCCAGCCCCCGTGAAAAGCTTTTAACACAATCTCCAATTTATTCAATAAAAAAAATGTTCTCAGGGTTAGGTAGAGCACTTACTTGCCTAGCATGTGCAAGGTCCTGGGTTTGATTCCTAGCACCACCACCAAGAAAAAAGAAAAGACTCAGAAAGTGTTCTCTAAGGGGATTTTTCTTTGGGCTCTTCATGACCATGGATATGTTTTTTGCTTTTTCTATTAGTACATGTTATTACACAATGATTATACTCCCCATGGGGAGGTGGCCCATGGATGTAATACATCTTTCTCCCTCCCTTTCCCCCACCCACTTTCCATGGCTTGGTCTCCTTCACATTTTCAAAAGATCTATCTTCCTGCTTCTTCTTATCTATCTTTTATTCTACTCTTTCATTACTTATGCTTTGGGCTTGCCGTATAAGAGAAACCATGCAATACTTAAGCTGGGTTTGAGTCCTTTCACTCAACCTTACAGTTGATGACTGTACGTGTAAACTTCAGCCTTAGGATAAATGAAGACACTGGACCCACAGAGTCCTGAGCCTCAGGAAAGCACAGGTCATGTTTTTGTTGCTCTTTAGTGGTCTCAGCACATAACAGACACTTCACAAAAATTTCTTGAATTGCAATGATGAACCAAATAGGTACTGGCTTTCTTGGTATTCCCTCTTCAGAATGTCAAGGCTTCTTTACTGTCTTCCTATTTTCTTACCTACTAGTCTACCCTTTAATTGATATAAAATAAGCCACTATATTAAAAAAAGAAACACACCTGATCGACTAGGTCATCCAAATTGGTCGCAAGAATATCATCAATGTTTTTAAGTTCTGATTCCACAGATGGGAGCTGAAAATGTATAAGACAAAACATAAAGAAGGTGCTACTTCCCAAGTTAACCCCAATAAAAAACAGAGCTGTCTTGTACCTACACCCTACTTCCTGGGGTATGACCTCACTTTCTTCTGAACAATAGGGTATTATTTGGGGATAAATATTTTGCTCACAACAACTTCTAAAGCACTCAGGCTTAGATGTTTGAAGGTCTCCTCCTGCAGTCAGCTCAAAAGGAGGCCAAGAAATTTAACACAGACATAGTATGTGAATAAAGTCAAAAACAATCTTTTTTGTTTGTTTCTGTTTTTTTGAGACAAGGCCTTACTATATAGTTCAGATTGGCCTTGAATTCACTATGTAGCCCAGGCTGACCTCAAACTCATGGCAACCCTCCTGCCTCAGCCTTTGAAATGCTAGGATTACAGATATGTGCCCCGGGCTGGGGATTTAGCTCAGCGGCAAATCGCCTGCCTGGCAAGCGCAAAGTTGTGAGTTCGGTTCCTGGTACCGGAGAATAACCAAAACATAAAAATAAAAAAATGAAAGGAAGAATAAGAATGTGAGAATTGAGGTTTTTTGGGGCTGGGGATTTAGCTCAGCGGCAAAAGCGCCTGCCTAGCAAGCGCAAGGTCGTGAGTTCGGTTCCTGGTACCGGAGAAAAACCAAAAAAAAAAAAAAACAAAAAACAAAACAAAAACAGATATGTGCCCCATGCCAGGCTATATTTTAATTTTAAAGGTCTGTATGAGACGGACATGGCAGTGTAATCCTGTAATATCAGCACCGGGAAGCTTGAGGCAGGAGGGTTATCACAAGTTCAAGGCCATCTTGGACTCTGTAGGGAGTTCAAAGCTGGACAGAACCCTGTTTCAAAAAAAAAAAGGGCTCACACAAACTCCCATGAAAGGGTTCTGTTATGTTCTTTGCTCCTGTTGCAGCTGTTCCAAGGAGGCTATCAGAGGCACCTAAAAGGTTGCCAGGGGTGGGGGTGACAGCTCCCCACTCCAGGCTGCCAGGTACCTGCTCACCTCGTCCAGGCCGGGGGTGCCCTCCAGCTGGCCTAGACTCGCCCTGATGTTGTCGCAGATCTGCTGCATTGGCTCTGAACTGCACTCGCTGCTACTGAGCGTCACCTCCATGTTTCTTTTCACAGTGGTCAGGTTGTTGTTCAGATGTTCGCTTGCCTGCTTTAGGCTCTGCACGCTGCTCTCCATGTCCTCCAGGGCCGCCTTGGTCTCTTTGATGGCTGCAGAAGGGACACAGTACCTAAGTGCAGGAAATCCCAGCCCTGCCCCCTCCAGGAGGGGCCATGTGATCTGGAGATGAACTTGAGAATGACACCAGACCACTGTGAGGGGCAGCCAGACGGGAAGCCACAGGGGACTCCTCTGCCTGCTCCCCCAACAGCGCGGCTTTCCTGTGTAGGGTCTCTGTCAACCCGGAATCAGGATCCAGCACCCCGGGGTGTGCCAGTAAGTGTGGAACTAAGGCATCACTGTTTGACCCGGAAGACGTCAATCCAAGTCCATCCCAGGAAGTTTTAGTCCATACAAAAACTAATTAAACCCAGACACATTTCACTTATGAATATTCAAAGAGCTAGAATTAAACAGTAGGAAAGGGCATGGTTTTAGATCTGGGCAGGCTTAGGCTTAGATCCCAGCTTCACTACTTCCTCTGAGGCCGGAAGTAGATTCTAGAAGCTCCTTGAACCAATTTTCTCACAATAAAATGCTGAGATCACCTCCATGTTCATCTTTAAATGTGGAGACCAATCAGACTGAAATGCCTCAAAGGCAGTGAATCAGTCGGTTTTATACTGGGCGTTCCATAACCCAGGACACATATTTACACTAAGACACTGGAATAATTGCTGTCTGATTTCTAGGTGGCGGCAGAGCTCCACGTGTGAGGAGGGAGGTATGGGGTTACGACTCTTTTGATAGTGGGTTAAAGCCACATCAGTGAAAGACAAGAAATTTAAGCTGGAGGCCATTGTTCTAAGCAGTTAAATCTTCCTGGTTAGATTTTTGCTCTGTGGCTCACAAGACAAAGGACAGAGGATTGGTGGGAAAATGACAGAGTGGTGAGTGGCAACTCCTCAAGCTCTCCAAGATTAAGAATCCAGGTTCTGCAGTATGACAATTCAGAGAACAAAACAGATGACTGAACATCAGACAGCCACTGAGGGTCGCAAGGAAAAGTGGGGGTGTCTTGAGGGTTGTCCCTGCTTTTCCCTGGCAGCCACATAAGACTTGAGTGTTAAAACTGCAGACACACACACACACACACACACATGCACGTGCATTACAGTGCTGTGGAATCTTGCTGAAAGTAGCCTGAGGTCTCATCACAGTTGTGCAACCTTGTTATGGCATCTTTGGCAAACTCTTTCATCTCTAGAGACCTCAGCTTCCTCATCTGTAAGTTAAGAAGCTGGCTGGGTCATCTCCTGGACACTCGGAGTCTGTGATTCTAAATCATGCACTGACAGATTTGGGGTGGCTGAGCTAGGTGTCACTGGTGTTAGGAAGTCTCATTCCACACTACAGCTAGCTTTGAAGATTTACCCAGAGACTGTGGAGGCTGCCAGAATTGGGCTGTCTATGACCATTCGTCTCAGATTCTCCCACCTAATTCCAGCATTCTGGAAGGCTGAGGAGGAAGGATTCCAAGTATTAGCCCAGCCTGGGTAATTTAGTGACTTAGCAAGAACTTATATTGAAATAGAAAATGAAAAAAAAAAAAGAGCGAGTGATGTATCTCAGTGTGAGGGCATGGGTTTAAGTGCCCCAAAAAGAATGTCAAAGAGCCCCTCGAGAGTCAGTGTGCATCCCTCCTATCTGCTTCTTAGTAGCAAAGCCTGAGGCCTGGCACCCAGCACAAGGCACAGGGTCAACTGTTGGGAGCGGCTGAAGCTGGAAAGTAATTACACGTGCAGGACGAAGCCGGCCTGAGAACACGGGAGCTCCTCGAAGCACGTAAACAAGAGGCTGTAGCTTAACTGACTGCTGGGCAGAGAGGCGGAAATTAATCAGCCTCTTCAGGTATAAAATAAATACTCTCCTGTTCTTGGGCAATTCCCCTTCTCTGCTCAGGAGAGAGAGGACCTCCACCTGATCCCAACTTTTCGATTTGTCTATTTTTTCTTCATTCTCGCCACCATTCCTTCCCAGGGTACAGCAAGAACCCAACAGATCCTTACAGCTGGAGACCACAAAGGGACCATGGTAGGAATAAGAGGGCAGAGAGAACACTTCCCAAGAGCGAGCAACAGAAGAGCAGAAGCGCGTTTGTGAGCGATTTCAGCACTGAAGTGCATGGTACCGGCACGTCAGGTGTAAAGCATGGGAATACGGGTTCTCTAGGGCCAGAAAATATACAGGTTTCAAAGAAGCCAAAAGAGAAAGGGGTATGGAAGTGCAGGTGGAGTCTCAAGATTCCCAGGGTACAGCAAAAGATCCTTACAGTCAATAAATATACAACATAGCAAAATAAGAAGCAAAGAAGTGGGTGCAACCAGAAACATGCCTCTGAGTGCAGAAGAGCAAGGGCTAAAACATACCACCCACCGCACACCCAGGCTGGGCTGTTCGGAGGTTTGCGGCTCGGAGCCCTTTCCACTTTGACTTCAAGATAAATTATGTTAGTACAGGAGACAAACAAGAAAGAAAGAAGAGATGATAAAATAAATTGATGACCCAGGAAGTGTGCATATTTAGTCATCATCTCTAGACATTCTGGGTTATGGATAATATTATGATAGTCCCAGGAAGGACTCAGAGCTAATAAATACCTATTTTTTAAAAGCTTCAAAGCACTTTATGCCTATAAAATATTGACTGGGTTAGAATTGTGGGAGTCACTGGAAGCCTACCAACATCACATATATTATGCGTCTGAAGTAAGTAGAAAAGACATTTCAGAGTTTTAATTTTAGTTAATTAACATTTCACCAGCCTAGCGCTGCTCATTTCCTTTCTAGGTCCTGACCTGCAACTCCAATATAATGTGCACAAAAGAACTGCACGTTTCTGCTTTCTCCAAAGGCCACAAAACACAAGGGCTCTGAAGAAGTTTTAGCAAAAAAAATTTGCTAGAGCAGTTCATGAAGCACATCTTAAGCCGCTCTGGCAGCAACTGGAGTTAAATAAACTGTGACTTACTCAGGCTGGCTTAAAAAATAACGTAGGACCTTAATCCAGGAATCACTGATGGGGAAAAATAAAGTCCACTCCAATTGTCTTTCATCTAGGGAGCACTAACTTCAAATGTTAAAAATTGTTGGCACCTTGGGCAAAAGTAAAGGTCCATACCTGTTATTCATAAACTTTTACACAGCCTCTACCCTTGTGTAACTTTGGAGCTGGAGGAGATCTGGGAAGATCTATCCTCCAAATGCACTGACACATGAGGGTTCTGGGTGCAAGCGTGCCCGGCGTCATCCCACGGCCACATCTTGAACCTCAGGTTCCCAACTTGTGCTTCCAAGGTTCACCATGTGGCCTTCCTGTGGCTGACAGGGCAACACCCGGTAGCCAGACTCCCTATGTCCTGATCCTATTTGGTCAGAAAGGAGAGGCTTCGTTTGGTCTGAAGCCCACCTCCTCCACTCCCCAGCGACCCCTCTACTGTGGGCCAAGTGTCCCCCACAGTGGCCGTGCTGATGTCCTAACCCCCAACGTGACTCTATTTGGAGAAAATGCCTCCGAGTTAAACAAGACTGCAAGGACTTGGGTCTTTCTAAGAGGAAGAGACACTAGAGATGGGTCTCTAAGACAGGAAGTAAGAACGGAATGACAGGCAGGAGCCAGGGAGAGAAGGGACGGGGGACAGAGGGAGGAAGACAGAGAGAGCAAGAGAAAAGGAAGGAGGGAGGGAGGAAGTAGCTGCATAGGAAATGCAAAGACGGAAGGGCAGGAGGCCTGGGTCTGAATTTCATGGCCTGGAAAGGAAATGTTTGGAGGTGAACAGAACAGATGTCTGGAGACTTCGAAGGCATCGGCGTCAAAGGACGCACCTTCAGCTACACCAGGCGCCGCTGCAAGGTCAGGGTGAAGGACAGGCAAGGCCCTTCCAAATAGTTAAGACCAATCCTGCCACTCTTGGCCTGTTCTGCACTCTCTTATATCAGTTCATTTTCCTGGATTGTTGAACCATAAGAAATGCCAAAAAGAACAGGCACAATTGTACAACTTCTACACAATCCCACCCTCTATGCCCTATATTCTCAGAAATATTAGCCCATGAAAGCCGAAATCATACTGGCCCAGTGTTTTACAGAGATGAAGTTGACCTCTCTGCCCAGGGCCCGGCACAGACATTTCTCTCAGTTTTTGGAAGACTGGAATATTCCGCATCCATGAGGTCTTTTCTCATTGCAGTCGAATATGCTTATTATTAAAGTACATCTGCTCACTTAAAACCACTGCTCATAGAAGAGCTTAAGATATATATCTACAGTTCTTGCTTCTAAAAGTTATTCTATCAGAAGGTGAAGGAAAAAGTAACCATATACTTCAAAAGACCTAAAATTCTATGCTCTACTTATAACCTATTCCAGGGGCCAAAACATGTTTTTGTTAAAAGCACAGGTAGTAAATATTCTAGGCCGTAGGGCATATGGCCTGTGTTACAGCTACCCAATTCTGTCATCGTAGCTCAGACGCAGTGATAGATGGTACCCATAGATGGATGTCCATGGTTGCATTCCAATAAAACTTTATTCACACAAACAATTTTGGCACTATCGTTTCATTTCTCCCTTTTTCTTTTGTACCGGGAATCGAACTGAGGACCTTTCACTTGCCAGGCAGGCACTGTGCCACTGAGCTGTATGCCTGGCCTGGCACTATCATTTCAAATCATGTTTAGGCCATCAGTGTAAGAGTTTTGGGACAAGCTTTAGAAACACAAGCAAGCTACTGTGTCACTGTCTGTCTTTACCTGGTCTGATTGTGTGACCACAGACTTCAGCTCTCACCCAGACCAGCTCTCAGGAGAATCCAGGATAGTGCGCGTGGCCCTTCAACCACTGTCCGTGTACGTCATCTGTGCCACCATGCTTACCTGTGACCATGGCCTTGACCTCATCAAGAACAGGGATCACTTTAGATCCTAGTACGTCTCGAATATTTTCTCCGAGCACTTTATTAATATCTGGATGGAAAGAAGCAGAAGGCTGGGTGAGTGCAGGTCCCTTACGACTTCTGCCTCGAGCTCCCTCCTCCTGCCCTGGGGTTCCACTTTCCAGTCCAGACCTAGTTCAGGTGCTGACTCTGGTGCGGAGGTTTTGTCCCATGCTTCAATGTTCCCACATGAGAGAAAAATTAGTCCTTGTGGAGCCACAGACTATTTGTGCTGGGAACACAGGGGTTTTACCATCTTGAGCATCTGCAACTGCGTCTGACCCCATCTCTCCCACTAGGCCAGGGTTTCTCCACGGCGGCACTCCTGACGTTTAGGGCAGTGTCGTGTGTGTGCCAGAAACACAACGCCCACCTCACCTCATGGTGCCAATCCAACATGTCTCCAGGTGTCACCAAAGGCCACCCTTGCTTGAGAACCACGAAGCCAAACTGTGCGTGACTTCCGTGGCATGGAGGGACCAGCACTGCCCCCTTTTCATTTCTGAAGCCCACTTTAACAGCGCAACTGGCAGGGACACCTTTTCTCTCCCACACAATGAATGAAGAACAGTGCTTGCGACCCGAGAAAGCAAGAGGTTGTCAAGAAATATACGATACAAACAAAATTCCTCCTGCTTGACAAACAAAAGCTTTCAGGAAATGCTGGATTATAATCATCCAGTAAGAGGCTGCAAGTTGTCAGTGATGCCAGGGAATGGTTTTCCTGCTTTCCCTACCTTCATTTACTTCATTTCTTAGTCCAGGTTGTAGGGGAAGTGGCCACAGACAAAGTTCTAAAAAAAATAGGAAAGCTTTAAAACAAAATTTTAGCCCAAAACATTACTTACTGTCCAGATCGGAGAACCCTCTTTCCTTGGTGACATTGAACTGATCCACTATATAGTCAACTTGCTGGAAAAGAAATGACATGAAACTGTCCTTGTAAGATCCCAAGCCACAATACAAAGATTATAAAAAGAGATTTGACATCCAAAAATTAACCTGAAACTCACCTAAAACTAATTTGAGTCAGAACCCTAAAAGAAACCCAGTAAGTTCTAGAAATGCTTTTATTTCCTGACTCTCAGATCTCTTAATAACACTGTCAGGCTTACTGACCCCCCATAATTTCATGTAACAAATAGGAGTCTACTTATTCTGGATTTGTTACTTGCGATGATGCGCTATGTCTCATCATTCCATGGACTGCAATGTGGATCTTCTTGTCAGGGGACAGCATGGATAGAGACAGATGGGGGTCTCTCTCTCCACATGACCGTTTTCACATGAGGACCCCACAGTAATTGGCAGTAAAAGCAGACATGGCAAGGCCTCTAAAAGCCAAAGTTCAAAACTAGCACAAGGTCATGTCCACTGTGTTGTCCTGGTCACAAGCATATCACAGAGACAGCCTGGACATCAAGGGTTGGGAAACAGCTCCATCTTGACATAAGGAGCTACCAAGAATTTACAGCCATTTGCAGTGTGGCACAGAGGGGTTCATTTTATCGACTCTCCCCAAATGGCCTCTGAAGGGACTTCCTGTCCTGCTGTCTATGGTGTCTCAGAGGACTCATCTTCCACTTCCTCAGGAACACTGGGGGTTATTTTTCAACAACTATTGAAAACCTTCTTAGTGAAAATATGGATCACTGGTTAAATTTTCATTTCTACAATTACTAGACTAAGTTCAACATATTTTGTTTTGTTTCAATATTTCATTTACATTTATTCTGTCAATTATACATTCACAGTTTCTATTCAGCTTTTATAGATATATTAGGTTCCTTCACATGTTGAACCAGCTTAGTTTCCACTAAAGCCATAGTCATTTTCTATCCTTCAAAGGTGATGAAAGCCACCTAAACCTCACCAGCCATCACTGTTGTACCAGTTTGCCAGCTTTTTAGGGAAAAGGTTTATCTTGGGAGTCTTTAGAATATCGACTATGAAATATAAACTTTTATTCAAGGATTAGGAAAAGCAAACATTTCCATCTTGCATACAGGCTACAAAACTATAAAATGAACTTCCTTGTTCTTGGTATTTTAAAATGTGTGCATCTCTTTTCTCTTTTATTTCCAACTACTTAAAAAAAACTAGAACACACTTAATGGCTAATATTTTTAGGACAGAACAGACTTGGAAGAAAGAACTTTCTAATCAATTCAGGAGGCAGGCTTTCCCTTGCTGACTTTGGTACCCATAAGCATCTCATCTTTGGGCAAGTTCCTGCCCAGTCATAGTTCTGAAGAATGTCCTGAGGAGGCAACAAACAAGAAGAGGGGGGCCTTCCCTCATCATCACCCCTTTAGCCATTCTGTGTTCCTTACCCAGACACCCATGTGTGCATGGGTGTGTGAGTTAGGAACATGACACACCTACACAGGTATTAACATGCGGGTGTTTGCAATCAAAAAGATTTCATTATAAGAGCAACTATGCAAATGATGAGGGGGGTCTTTATACTGCCCAAAAGAAAAGATACAGACTTTTAAAAAAATCGAGACTCTTAAAATTATCTAGCTTTATAATATGTATTATGATTTTGTTATACCTTAATAAAATAAAATCCAGCCAAATAAGAATATTAATTCTGAAACTATGCTTCTACACTCTTGAGGATCATCTGTGGGGTCTTTATTTCTTCATCTACAGCATTAAATGGTAGCCCCACCTACAGGGATTCGCCTGGCTCCCAGAGGGTTGCAGGGTGGGTCTAGACACAGACAGAGCGACCTGGACAAGCCCAGAATACGAAGTGCCGAGGCTGGGGGTGTTACCTTTGGAATTTGGTCCAGGAGCGTTCGAAAGTCATTCAAATTGCTGTCTGCCAGTTTCTGCGTCCTTTGGATCCTGGTCCTCATATGAAGGTTGGCAAAAAAGGCAAACAAGATGCCGATGCTGCAGTAGAAGGGAAACCATTTACTGTGCAGTGCCCGATTCTCTATCTTCTGCATGGCACGAGCAGGAAGAGGCTGCAGAAAGGCCACCTGTCTCTGCCCCTGTCCTGCCCACGAAGGTCCCCTAGTTGACACCACCACCACATGAGGCCACAAAACAGGCCTCAGATCTCCCAGAAGACAACTCTCCATTCAGGACAAAGTATCCTGTTCAAAAACGACTCCAAATGAGTAGCGCTCACCACGAATTGTGGAGAGGTAAGGTCACCAGGGTGACAAGGCAGTGTGCATGATCTCGTTCCACTAGCATCCCGATGTCTGCTGTGAACATCCCCAACTATGCACACACACACTGCACATCTCTGCTCCCCCACAAGGAAGACACAGAAACACTGAAATGACAGGTCAGTGGGGGCCTTGTAGTATTCTTTGTTTCTCTGTTTCTGTTCTGTCCATTTTGGGGGAAAATAAGTTACTTTTGCATTAGAATGCTATAGGAGAAGTCACACACTGTGGAGTGAGTCAATACTATATTATTTCATTTTATACAATGTACAAAAACAGGAGAGGCAGGAGGATTCCTCATTTAATAACTGAGTTCTGTTCCTGAGGCTAGATCATTCCATGAACTCATCACTCAGTGAGGAGCTACATTACAATACTCAGAACAAAGAAAGGATCAAAGGAAATCCTAACTTGATGACTCTGCTTTTATTTGCATAACTCTTACATGCAGTACTGTAATGTACAATAACATAAAACTATAATACTGCCAGGCATGGTGGCATACACCTGTAATCCCAGCAGTAGGGAGGCTGAAGCAGGAGGATTGCTGCGAGTTTGAGACCAGCCTGGGCTACAAAGCGAACTCAAGGCCAGTCTGAATTGCATAGTGTGACCCTGTCTCAAAAAGACAATAAAATAAAATAAAAAACTACAGTACTGTACTATACAGTACAACCAGCAAAAATTACAATTCTGTATAAACAAGGCGTGCTGTCCAAAAAACCAAAGCAAAAGAAAAGACATTGAGGCTTTATAAACAAGTTGTACAAACCTGTACAGAAAAAAGAAAGACAGGTCTTATGTCCAAGTGGCAGGTAGTAAGTCCAAACAGTCGTTCAATAGGTCAGTCGTTAAAGGAGGAATGTCTAAATTAACTTGACTAAACTGCTTTGTTTTCACGGCAAAGCCCTTGAACATTGAAAACCGTGTGTGAACGGTCCTGTTGGATTTATCCACAAGGTGGCAGCAAGGAAGTACGTAAACTAAGCACAACGCAGGCTCTCTTACCTGCAGAAACAACTAAAGAAATTGTTTTGCAATCACCCAATAGAAGCTGTGGCTTTAATTTTTACAATCAAGTGTTGCAAGTAACAGGCAAATTTTAGGAAAAAATGCAGAAAATCAGTACATTGTGCCTTGAGCTAAGCAATTTTTTGGGCTTTGTGAATGCCTGTATTTACATGCAGTGTGACCAAGCTTCGGTTTTATACTGAAAACTCTTGTGTCCCCAGTAAACTCCTGAGTCCTGGGTACCTGTGAACATTCACCCCCTACTCCAAGAGGCAGTGAGTCCTTGCTAGTGTCACTGGAGACCTCTTCTCCCGTTGCAGTGCTCCATACACCCACGAGGCTGTCCAAACAGCCCACAGATGCCTCCATGTAACTCACAGCAGCGAGCAGGATTTCTCATGGCTAAGGAGTTGCAGAGGAGACACCAGATCTGGGTTCTGGTTCCTCTCCTCGCTGTGCAAGCAGACATCTTAAAACTAAAAAGATCTGCTTAGAGCTTTAGATCTAATTAGTAAATGGATCTAATCCAACTTACGCTAGACAAGTGCTCTTCAAGCTGCCAAGAAGGGTTAAGGAAAATTATGAAATCTCAGATTATTTTTAGCTGGGGTTCCTTCTGAAGGCATATGGAATAAATATTTGTAGTATTTCATGGGCTGGGGATATAGCTCAGTGGCATAAGCACCTGCCTGTAATTTCGTGCCATTTAGAATGATTCTCTCATCATCCATTAGTGTCCATCCTCGTGGGATAGGTACTTAGGAGGCACACCCTACAGCACACCGATAAGTTATTAAATGATGCCCCCGTGCCAAATAAGGCCAAATGACTCAAAATAATGATCTGAGTTGTGTGAAGAGGAAACGCATACAACCAAAAGTTGGATTCTAGCGCTGTACTTGCAGCTTTATTTACCAAAGCAAATGAAAAATACTCCATAGGATGATCAAGAAGGGTCACCCCCTGTATATACCTGATATCCATACTGGGCACTCTTGCTTTGTCTCCCCAATGTGCCCAAATTATTTCAGTCATTCCTCGCACTCCAAGACCCATCGGGTCACATGAAAAGTCAAAGTGAAGTGAGAAGCCCACTTCCGCCCACCTCTCTGCTTCAGCTCCCGGGCCCTTCTCCCTCCCATTCTGACGGCGTGCTTCTCACTTTTCAGGCCAGTTCATCTTTATTTATTTCTACCTATGTTTAGTTTCCCCAAAAGAGGGAGAAACTGTGCGCTAATTTTGCATAATGCAGTCTTATCCCCAGGGGTGCTCCATGAGGCTATTGAAGGACTGGGCTTTTGCTTCACATAGCCAATTTGGAAGATTCACCCCCTGATGGGAGAGTCTAAGTCAGAAACTATCTTTGTTCCTTTATTGAATAAATGCCTCGACTCAAGCGATCACAGGTCAGACTAATGAATGCAACGCAACATTTCAGTAGGACACTGGATTTCAGTGCTAATTATTTATAAGGACGCATGTCTCTGTGAATCCATACAATGATTCAATGAAAATAAACATATTGATTATCTTTAAGAAAAACTACTAAACAGAATTCTGCAATAGCAGTCAGCAACTTTCAAAGCTGATCTGCAGACTTCCTCAGCGTACAAATTTATATTTAAATTAAGGACAACAAATGCAAAAGCACAGGGGAAAGTGGACCTGTGGGTGTCTGGGGCTGGGAGAACAAAGGTGGGGCGGGGCAGCTGTTCCGTGGCTCTAGAGAGCATAGACGCCAGGGTCGGACGGTGGCATCGAGCGCCACCATGTTGTCAGACCAGCACCGCCATGACCTCCACAGTATCTGCAAACATCTGGAGATCTAGATTCTAATTCCAGCTTCGAATCTCCCCATTCCAAAGTATTAGTTACTAATTAAGAAAAGTACTATGCAGAACCACTGGTCATCTCCATTTGCCATCTCTAATTGAAGCCTTTTGTTTCAACAAAATAGAGGATGAAGAAATGATACTTTTGGGCTGAGGGTCTAGCTCAGTGGTGGAGCACTTGCCTGTCGTGCTGTACCACACACACACACACACACACACACACACGCACGCACACACAGAGTTTTTATTATTTAGACACTACTTTTTTTAAAATCACATGAATTTATGTTTTTGTATCTTAACAATGAACCCATCAACTATTAGGATATGACAATATAGACAGAAATTTACCTAACATAAAAAAGGAATAAAATTTCAGTGAGTAACCCTTCACTAGTCCTTAACATGTCATCAATCTATCAAAAATGTGTGCTTTTATGCAGAACAAAATCTCTAGAAATATTTAGCAGAAGATAGGAATTTTTATTTTTTAATGGCATATTCACCTTATATTTAATAGTTTTACATTTTGTTATGGACAAACAACTTTCTCCCATATACACCTATGCATAAATACTTAAAGCTTTTAGAGTAAACAAGCTTTCTAAAAATGCGTGGCTATTTTTTTCCCAAAAATTGCTGCTGAATTAAATTAACAAATGAAAGCCAAATGAAGGCTTTCAGCCTTTAAACTGATCTCTTATTTTTTAAAGATAATTTTTGAATTTAAAATTACAATTACTGGATCTCTCATTCCCATGAAGAAAGTCTCATGATTTTCAGGCACGCTATAGTTCAATTTCATTTTTATTAGACTCCTGTGACCTTCAAGCCAGGAACTGACCATCGTATCCTAATACAAATGAACTTGAAAATGGCCAGCTTCCTGAGGATGCCCGTGATTTGATCAATTCCCAGGGTGACAGCAAAGCTGCCTTCTTGTACTCAGAAACTTGGAAATATACAAAAGCGATTGAGGCACGGTCTCGCTCCTTCCCTCCCTCCTTCCGTCTCTGCCCTTCTCTCTTTAGAGAATTTTGCAATTCTGAAAAATGCAGTGATGAGAAGTGCAGAACAAAGGAGAAGAAACTTGTTTTTTCCTGGAGAGACCCATCCGCTGAATGAGCCCACAGTAAGAGGTGGAAATTCAATCCCTGCGCTGCTCAAGCGGACTAACAGACATGCGTCAGGTCCCCCGCACTCCCACACTCCACAGCTGCCTTTGGAAAAGCTCAGAGACCCAGCAGGACCATGTGCTCCACATACACCAAGGAAACCTCCTCCGCACCTATGGCTTTCTGAAAAAAAATTAAAAGTTTTTGAAATAAAAAGGGCTGAATGAAAATTAGTCAAGGCTAATTTTTAAAGCAATTTAAATTTTAAAACCTCTATGAGTTTATGGGAGAATTTTTTAAAAAATCATATCAAAGATTATTTATCAGTAATACTAGATTTCTCGCTGGGTCTGGTGGTTCATGCCTGTAGTCCTAGCACTTGAAAGCCTGAGGCAGGAGGATCACTGTGAGTTCAAGACCAGCCTGGGCTATACAAAGGGAGCTCGAGGCCATCCTGAACTGTATAGCAAGACACCACGTCAAAAGGGCCAAAAAAAATAGTATTGGATTTCTGCTGAAGTCATTGTTAAGCCAGAGGCCCTGCTCTACGAAAAGGAGAGAGAGAGAGAGGATATTAACATATTTGTTTGTTCTCTTTCTGAGAGAAACAGATTTAATTTGTTCAACACTGTCTCCACCTATTTTGATCTGATCTTCTGATTTTGGTGACATACTATAGAAATGTCCTTTTTCCCCAGAGCTTTAATTTTCTTGGCTAGCTTTGGTTACTTGAAAACAATATTGAGCTATTATTCAACTCTTAATGTTTAAGACACTTGCAAATCAGTGTTTCAAAAGGAAAACATCAAAATACCTCTAGTAAATTGAAACAGTTGAGGCCAAATATAAACAGCCAAATTTAAAGAAGAAAACCTCTCATGTACAACTTCAATTCTGACCCACTGGTATAAAAATAAATTTTATATATAAATTCAGTGCATTATGTGAAATCAAATTTGGTTTAAATTTTTCACAACTTCAAACAGTTGCTCAACTGGTTTAATTTCACTAGATCTAAAATTATGATTTTCAAATTAATGTTATACCTGGTTAGGCAAAAAATGGCATGTATCTTTAGAAAGAATTTCATGCTAAAATATATGAAAAAGCTTATCTAAATTTACTTGATGGGTCTGAATCTCCAGAATAAAAGAAAATAGTTGTAGCCTTTATTTTTATATACATTTCATTTTATAAATGGAAGTCAAGTATATTTTTGACTTGTAGTTTTACTCATTATATATTTTAGTGTTTTAAACCTAATATAGCTAACCCAGTGAACTAGCACATAATCATATAAAACACAAATAGAAGTCTAATTTAAAAAGAGGAATCCAATAGAGTATATGCTTCATTAAAAAAATGGTAAGCCCATCATTACTTATGTAAATGTTTATTCAGGTAAATGAATAATGATATATAGTAAAAAATTTCCCTGAAATTATGATACATGAATTTGTATCAGGTGAAAATTATTAACCTGTTAAGTAAGTAACCCCTCTAACAAGAAGCCCAGGGCAGATTTTCTTGTTTTTTTTTTTTCCAGTACTGAGAATTGAACTTACAACCTTGCACTTGTCGCTGAGCTAAATCCCCAGCCCCTAAGATTTTCAAATGACACTTTCTAACCTGAGCCCCGTCTTTGACATCTAAGTCTATGGACGAGGAGTAACACAGAGGGTCTTGCCCATGGAAGAATGAAGCATGTAAGACTCTGGCTTGCTGGAAATGCATGGGGACCCCTGTTGAGCCTGACAGGTCTCTGGGCTGTAACTGCCACTCATGTGGTAGCTGAGGAGGAAGTAACTCTCCCAGAGTGGTCTGTGCTTCCCTGAGACTGCTCCAAACGCAAAGCAGAGACAGAGACGTCTGCAATTCCCATCCACTGGATCCTAAGCTGTCTTTCAGAACCCATGGAAAGAAATAGATTCAAAGTGTTTTCAGAGACAGAGACAGACAGACTGAGGCAAAGTTCAGAGACAATTCTGTATTCTGATAATTACAGAAGAGAAGGAGAGAAAAGAAGGCCAACCCACACCTGAAGCTCACAGAGGAAACATAAAAGGAAACCGGTGGTTGACCAGCAGCAGGGCCTGAAGTTAAGTAACACATCCCCTGGGATCCTGTTTACACACATCCATCATTAAGGCCTATTACTGCATAATTTTGAGCAAAACTGTGCATTTGCTTAAATAACCACTGCCCTGGAACAAGTGGTAATGCACTGGCTTTGGTGTTCCAGTTTTACGTCAAGGTTAATGAATTCGGCAGGTAGCGCCTGAGCTTGCTACACTACTTCTTGAGTGCCAGCAGCCCAGCTGCAGCAGCAAGCTCCTTCCTTCTGGCCAACGACCCACAGTTTCCTTTTCAGAGAGAGCCACTCTGTTAATCCTTTCATACACGTTGTTTGCAAATACAGCCACGTGTTTGCATCTCCTTCCTTCTTTATTTTTATCACAGTTACAGTGTTCAACACAGGTCTGCAAGCTGCTCCTTTCAGTTCATTTCCATGGAGGACCATTTCCCATCGACACATCTGGAGCGGTTCCAGGTGTTTCAGAGAGTACATTCCATTTCTATGCGTGGTCACCCAAACTATGCCTCGTACCAGATTCCGGCAGATGGCACACTCATCAGACTGTGCCTCTTGGGTTTGCAGCTAAAGCTTCAACTAGGACTCACTGTTTGTGCTTCATTTCCTAACTATCACTTAGTGAAACTTGAACAATCTTACAGCTACAGAGAAAATAGTGTTTGGAGAAGCATAAGACAAATGCTACCAGCCCTGTGCCTGTATCCACACGCCTACTTTGTTGCTGTTGTTGTGTGAAACATCACCTGAGCAATGGGGACCTGTGGAACAATAACCAAAAGTCACTAGCAGGGACCAGTGTCTCGACGCACATTGCTCAGCTGGGGAATCAGTTTGAACTCAACAAATCAGCCTGTTGTTAAAGCATAGCAGGAACCACAGCAGAGACCTCCTAAATTATGAGCTACATTCTAGACTTCAAAAAAGGGTAGTAGATGAATAGCAAATTTAAGAAAAATGGGTTTAGACATTATTAGATAGTTCATTATAGCTACAGTATTTTCAGATTTTCAAACACAGGAACTGTACCCGCCCACTGAGATTCCTTTGGAACAGACTAGCAAATACAGGCTCTGTCTTCATGTGTGCTGTCTGCCTCCAGAGCTCTATCTCAAAGGAGAGAGCCCCTCTTGGGAGGTAAATGCTTTCAGCGGCTCAAGAGCTATCAGCATATCTACATGGGGAAAAATACCAGAAAGCTGCCTCATCAGGTAAGTTAGCGCAGTTTCCTTACTACGCTGACTTCCGGTGATACAGACAACTTCCCACTCCTGGACAAGCACTTCTGTTCTCCATTTTCTGTTGCTGTTATGTTGTTTTGTTTCAAACTCATGGATTTATGTTAAAACATGGGAGAGTAACACTAAAATAGGATCAGCTGTTGCTCAAGTGTCTACTTGCCTTATAATTATACTAATCACCAAGAGGGAGACTGCAAAGTATTTCCTCCGGAAGGGGCCACTTTCCTTCTGTCGTTGGTGCATTTTTCCACCACACTTGTTACAGCAACGGCACAGACAGAAGAAGTACCCCACCACTGGCATCAGAATAATGAACAGCAGTCCCAGGACAGCACAGATGATAACGCCCATTTCATAGTAGATAACCTGCAGTTCGAAAAGAAGAAACAGCACACACTGTCACACAACACAGAAAGTAGAACGTTCCACAGTACACATTTCATGTTTTTAACCTACGCGCCATAATGAGTTGCATCAACGTGTGTGTATATTTTGCTATTTCAAAGCTCCTTCCTGAAACAGAGGGAACACAGAACTGAGTTATCAGAATATTGCACCAAGTGATTACTATCTTCTTTTCCATTTCCAGGAGGAGATCCAGGTATAAGATCGAGCAACAAATGGTATAATTTCAACCCCAAAGATGGTTTGTGTTTTCAAATGGTTTAATAAATCTGGGCATGAATACTTGTACAATGAATGATCTACATATAGGGTGTTTTACACCAGAAAGATAGGACCAAAAGAAGTTAGTAAAGATTTGAAGCAACTTCTCATACTGTAGCATGGCCCAGAGAAAGTAATGGAGTCCAAAGCTCAAGGCTTATACACAGCCTGTGCTCCCAGTGGCCGGCACCCCTTCTAGATACATCCACCTAAACATATGTTCCTGATCACTGCTGGCTGTATTCTGAGGTAGATGAAAATTAATGCAACTGGATAATGGGACTTGACCTTGGTCCACTCCTTGTGTGCTGTTACTCACATTTCTAAAAAATTAAAGAAAATCAGAGGTTGGCAGTTGGCAACTAATGGACAAGTAGGTAGCAATGGATGCTGAAGTCAGGCTGAGCAAAATAACACAGGACATAAGAAGTCTTGGTCCTGAAGGCAAGCACTGAGACAAGATCTTGTGTCAGACTCTCACCTTGCCCTTGTCTTCCCCAGTGATCAAGTGAAGTATGTATTCTGTCATTACCATGAGTTTGGGGTGAGCAAGAGGGTGGCCGAGGGCAGCAGCCCTCTCCAGCCTGTGCCTTCTGTAACGTGTTACAGACTGCATACACTCAAGTGAGTCAGTAACAAAAGTAACCCCAGGAAAGAGTGACCTTTGTCTTAAGATTGGCCCAACTGACAAGCGTCTCGAGACAGGGTGACCAGGTTGAGATGCACATCATCCAGCCCACCTGTTGTGGGAAGGTACCGGCCAACCTGCAATGACCTGTTACAAGAAGGCGCCCGCTGGTGAGTGAACACCCACCAACACCTGTAGGAGCCGCCCCCAAATCAGCTTCCTAGCTAGACGGACTTCGTGACAAGTCACTCATCTTCTAGTTTAAGTGGCCTTAGAACGAAGTCCCTCTCCTTGCCTCGGCACCCTGCCTCTCAGTTGGTCTGCTGGGTAGTGAGTAGCCTGTGGGATCCAGCAGCCTTCCCCGCACCAAATGCAATGCCCTGAGGAGGGCACTGAAATGGAAATTAGTTACAGCCCAGCAAGGGAATGCAGCTTCCCAACATGGAAAATGTCCGCTACCATTAATCCCATAGACATATTGTACGGGGCAGAGAACTACTTGATCTAAGGTGGAAACAACTACCCAAGTGCTGGGCTCACAGTAAGCACTGAACAAACAGTGATTAACTCTAAGAGCAGATGCTCAAGTGTTAAGCCAGGCGCATGGCACTTGAATATTATCTACTTTGATATGAAGGATAAAATGCTAAAATGAGGGGAAAGTGGCTGAATTTTGCTGCGTACATCTACGTAAGACCCTTCCCACGTCCATGAAGACCCATTATATGCTGACTTTATCCTTCTTTGAGGACTAATTGGAGGCCTTAATCAGAAATCAACCCAGACACTCCAAACTTACATGCTTACATATTTGCCTATCATTTCTCACCAAATGATTCAAATTACTACGTCTAAACAATTTAGAAATAGTAATTTTATCCCCTCTTTTCTAAACTCCAGGAGACACGGAACCCAAAACGAGGAGAGAAGGGATACTGAACTGTTCACAATGCACCGGGTACCAATTTTATATCAGATACACTATCTTACCAATGTCACCTTCTAAACATCACCTGGGCTCAGGAACAAGAATGCATTGTTTTAAGAGCCGACTTCAAAGCTAATGTCTTCCTGAGGGCTGTTAGTATATACATTTTCTTTCTGAGATATCAAGATCCTGGAGCATTTTATAGATTATGTTGAAGATAAGGCCAAGAGAGGGTTAAAGATGGTGACAGAAACACAATGAAATGGATAATTTAAAAACCAACATAGGGAAGCAAAGGATGTTCTGATGAAGGTGACATCACTAGCTGGTTTAAGACAAAGAACAGACAGCAGACATGAACATTACCTTCAGAGCCAAGACTACATTTTCTGGCTGTAGGAGCCAAAGCAGTTGAGGAGTTTGTGTGTGGCAGAGGCAGCATGCACCAAGAAAACAGAAAAATTCACATGAGTAAGTCACCACAACCAAGAGCATTACCATCCCACACAGAGAGAATCAGGCAGCAGAAAGACGGACACAAGAAAGGGATATAACATTTGAGTGTGTATTTGGGGAACAGTGCTTTGAGTGGAGTCAAATTCTAGAATTTGCATTTGATTCTTGAAAGGTTCTTAGTACACAGGTCAGATACGGGAAGGAGAATTACAGGGAAAGTTACAAATGTTTCGCACACTAACCATGTTGTCTGCATGTAACAGAGAGCCAGGGGTTGCATAGCATCCAAAAGCCAAAGGCAACATCTTCCGGTGTCACCTCCACAATGAAGTCTGATGGTGTCAGTCCCTTGCTTAATAGTATCCCTTGGATTTCCAGCATTTTTAATGCCGGTGTCTCAGTGTGGTTCTCTATGGCCTAACTTCAGTTTCATGTCCCCATTCTTCCTGACCATTCTAGCGGTGTTCGTCGTCATCCTATGAAATGTCCTCTCCTTATTCTGCGTTCCTCTGTGCAGCCTCCTCACCCAGAACATAATGAAACTCAAGTCCAAGTGCAGGTGTTGCCTCCTCCAGGAAGTCTGGGCACTGCCCATCCCTCCTTCACCCCACATGGAGCCCTGCGCTTGCCCTGACACACCACTCACCCTGCTTATGGGCTCCCACGTGGCCATCTCCCGTACCACATTTCACCAGGACCGCGACCTTCCACCCGTGAACCCTGAGCAGCAGTCGGTGATGGGGGCTGGGCAGAGATGGGATGGACCAGCCCACAACAAAGTGAGAAAGACAAAGCAGATGCAATGCGTTTTCCTTGAAGTTAGTTGGTACAACTGATAGGACTATCCTTTTTGAAGAGAGCAGAGTTGTTATGGATTTCATGGCTGGTTTAAGATGCGGCACACTCAATGCGTATGCATCATCCTCATCCCTGAGCAGCAATGATCCGCCAGCAGTGACTCCTGTCTTGCAGCGCGCTCTCTCTACATGCCCTCTGGGACACCTAGGACACACTTTCCTCCTGCAGGAAGGGCCATGAGCATTCTTAGGGGTGGTGTGTCACTTCCCTCTGCGTAGGGAGGAAGCAGGTAGCTCTTACAGACAGGAAGGACTCAAACTCACCAAATGCCTTGGGTGATGACCTGATCTTTACTAAGTGCTGGGTTGGTATCCCATGGGTTGTTAAGAGCGGGTAAGGGCACTGAAAGCAGCAGGGACCACAAGTCCCAAGCTTGCTCCTGCCCCCAGAAAAGTGTGAAGAAAGGGAATAACAGAAGTGGAATAAATGAGGAAGAGCCAACCCAGCTGAATCTAGAGGACAGTAAACCAAGAGGAAGCATGGAGATAAATTATGACCATGTGGAAATGAATGCATCCAGGGAACCATGACAAGGAAATGCACGGTTCTCCTGACAGAAATCTGCAGAATGACCAAGGCAGCAGGTGGAGGGGGTGGGGGAACTGCCCCCTTGAAAAGGCGAGGTGTGAGTTGTATTTATGGGTTATCGATGGGAAGTCACTGTAAGGGCAGCCGGCCTGAGGTGCCCCAAACTCGGCACCCTGTGGTGGTAAGAACTATGCTCTGGACTTTCATTCAAGTGAGCAGCGAACATAGCCCTAGGCTGCAAGCCTGTTTTTGCACGACCACGTGAGCTGGCTGACATTCTGCCGCCCCCTCCTGTACGGTGAGCCAGAACGCAGAGAATCTGAGAAGTGGCTCACCCCATACTACAGCACGGGCTGGGCATGGCACGGCTCACCACTGTATCTTGAGCCCACGATGTGTCACCCAGTGGGCAATAACCTGGTGGATACCTGAGCTGCCCTTGTGCTCTGACGGGGACAAGCGTCTCCCTGTGAGGCCTACAGGAGGTACCGTGTACCACTCTCGTGGGAAGATGCCCGGAATCCAGCGTATGCTAAGCGAATGGTGCAGCTGTGTTTCCCACTTGGGAAAAGTGGGACTGTTAGAGTCATTTCTCAGCTCTCCGTAACTTCATCCGTCCTGTCTTCATTTTCCCTCTTGGGCCGTTAATGCCAAGTGTTAGTCCCTTTCTGATCTGGCCCCCACCCAGTATTCCATTGCCCTGACACTGGAATCTGCCACAGGTTCTCTGAAATCACAGGCCGGAGATAAACGTGCCCGAATGGACCATTCTGTGAAGCACGACACTGAGTATTCCACCCTGAGCAAGCTGATGATTTAGTCACATTGGAGGAGAGGGCAACTCAGGACGTGACCATTTCTGCCCAGAGATAATTACTCACTGTACTATTTTGTGGCTTATATGCAAATTTTGTACCTTTGAGGCTGTGATACTCTGCTAACAGCTGAAGATACTCAGTTGAAAGCAGTTTCTTCCAAATTATTCATTTTAGGACTATGCCCAGTGAGCTGGAATAAATCTCATATTTGTTGGTGGTGTTTGTTGGTTTGGAGTTAGACTGGTCTGGGTACAAACCCCAGCTTTATCATTTAGCTCCTAGGGGACCTCAGGTGAGTGCTTGGCGTCTCTGCGCATAGGTTTCCTTGCACCTACTATAGCAGCAGCACTGCCTCCTTGGAAATGTGACCTTGTGAGGACTGGGAACCATGGAAAGGTCCTACCCTAGGGCCTGCACATGCAGACAAGCAATGGCGGCTCTTCCTGCTGCACAGAAGATGAAACAGCTTGATGGTCTGCGGTAAGAAGCAGGTGAGCAGCATGGTGGGTCGAGCCAAGGCTTTCAGGCGGAAGTAAGGCTTCAGTTCGCATCTGCTCTGCTTGCCTCTAGGTCCGGTTGAAGTGCCAGGTCCACTGTGGAATCTTCCCAAGTGCGGGGACACTCTCCTGCCTTTACCGTTCCCGGCCTTCATCAGAACTGCATGTATGACATGCTTCTTTTCAGTCTTGCATCCCCACGGCCCCCTGTCTCAGCCTGGTCGGGGTGCCATGGGAAGGTACCACAGCCGGGGTGGCGTCAACACCCTCCAAGTTGTGAGCCAGGCTGGTTTCATCTGCAGCCACCCTTCTTGGCTCGTCAGTGGCCACCTTCTCCTCTCCCTTCACAGGGCCTCCTGTGTAACTATCTGTGTCCTTGTTTTTCCTTCGTAGAAGGACTGCAATCGTGGCGGATTAAGGCCCACTCTAATGACCTCATCCACAACCTGCCTCTTTTAAAACCCTGTGTCCAAATACAGTGACATTCATAGCTACCAGGGGTGAGGACTTTGACATGAGAGTTTTGGACACAGTTCAGCCTGAAACATCTCTGTACATGTCTTAAGCTTGGCCCCTCCTCCACCAACTGTGCGCTGTGGCAGGTTATACCCTTACCGTGCACTGCTCCTAACAGGAACTCCAGAAATATCAACTAATGAAATATACTGTATTAAGTAAAAGAGAAAAAGTCTCAAAAAATAAATTCAGGGAAGAGAAAGAAAAGGTCAAGGACTTCAAAGTACAGTGGTACCTCAGTTCACGAACTTAATTTTTTCCATGATTCTGGTTGTAAACCAAAGTGGATGAAAATTTAATCAAATTTAGGCCCAGTACAAGGACACTGCACTGGGTCAGGATACTCCCCTGGACAGACCTTACCTGTGTGACCGCGCTGAGAGGGCGCAGGCCACAGCAAAGTGCTGGTGCTGCTGCATGCCCTGAGGCCCTTAGCCATCTCTTGCGTTCCCTCAGAGGAACTAGCCAGCATCTTCAGGAAGGCTTCCTCCAGATCCTCCGGAAGTACTTGGGAATGAGAATGAGCACTGGCCCCAATTCCCAAGCAGCCCTAACCAGCACCTCTGGGGTCCTGGTGTGGAGATACCTCGGCTCTCTCACCCTTCCTGTGAGCTACGCTGAAGCCAGTGCTTGGCGGTTTCCCCGGGCTCATCTGCATGATGCAGCTGGCCCCTGCAGGGCTGCTGGCATACTGGTACCCCCTGAAGAGGCTGCTCCTCCCTTTCCTACATCCCAGACAGTGTTCTTCAGTCGAGGGCTTGCCCTTAAATCCTTGACTCAGGCGCTGGGTTGGAGGGGGACCCAGCCTAGCACACCCAGAATTTCTCAGACTAAATCCCATGAGAGAGCTGTACTTTTGCCCAACGAAATCTCTCGTCCTTGGATAGCTGTAGAAAGTTCGATCTGGTTCCATACTCAGCGGGGGTGGGATGCAGCTCATTCACGCTGGCTTACTTCTGCATCCTCTCTCCACTTCACCTGCACCCTAGGGGTTTTCAGCCAGGTGTCCCCTGGTGCCCAGGATCTCCAAAGCTAACACTATGCCAAGCACAAAGGAGCTGTCCAACTAAGAACCCTGCCAGGGACAGTGGCGGCCCAGCCCCGCCTCACGCTTGCGAGACTCCTCAGATCACTCAGGGTCTCAGATGTCACCCTTCAAAGCCTGGACCCAACTGAAGTGCTATCCCCAATTCCCACTCATTCCCTTGAAGCACCAGGTGGCATTCAGGTTATTAGCTGCCAACAGCAAGCTGCTTTTAAAGACAATTATAAAGGCAAAGTCAATTGACTCTGCCTAGTGATACACACCAACACGACTCGTTATTTGGAAAATAGGAATGAAGCCAGGAGCAAGGAAGAATGAAAACCGGGGAAGGCTGCGAGCTCTCCATGAGCTCTCCACTAGCGCCATCTCTCACTCAGTCTTCCCTGCTGCTGGACGTAAATGGCTTTCAGATAGGTCTTCCTCTTTGGCTTCTATATTCACTTTTCTCTTGAGTATCATTTTACTGCCAATTGAGAATATGATGAGGCCATTTGCAAACGCAACGTCTAACGACAGTGTCTGAGAGGTCACTATCCACTGGGCAAAAGTCCTCAGCAGCCCTGGCCTGCCCCTGATCCTCACTGTCACAGGAGGATAGGGAAGAACAATGCACTGCGGGCCGAGAACATGACACACAGGCTGAACTCATTTTTCTTATTCTGCATTCAGTGCAACAGTTGTTTGCCTGTTTCCTGGGCAGCCTACACGGATTCCACGTCACATCAACAGGACCTTCTTCTGGTCGGGGATGGAGGAGAGTGGAGTGGATGGGTAGCACGCGGCATGTTAAGCAGAGGCACACCGGGTTCCTGGACAGGTTCTGGACGTGCCATCCGGCTCTCCCTCCGCCAGCAGGCTCGGCTCACGCGTCTTCCTCCTGGTGGGCTGCCTGCTTCTCTCACACCGAAACTCTCTGCTCGCACTGCGCCCCACCTGAGGTACCGCTTCCCGCCTGCCCTGACCCTCTGGATCCTTTCCACATCAAACCACAACATTTCTTCTGGGAAGAGCTTCCGGTTAGAAAGAACTATTTTTCTCTATGTTCCTCCGCATGTCGCTGATGCATCTGCTCCGTCCTCTTACCCTTCTTTGAACCCTCGGGTCCTGTCCCTGCCCTGGAGCAGGGGCTTCTCCGCCTCCTGGGCTCCCTTCCACTTGCAGCCAAGAGCGTGCGCAGCAGGCCTCAGGAAACGCCGCTCCGCTGGGAAGCTGCTTTGTAACGCGGCATCTTCCAAGACGACGCACATTGTTTCCAGGGTTCCTGAAACAATTCTACCTCAAGACTTTTCATCCCTTAGCTAAAAAAGTAAGTTACTATTTCTTTGGGGAGGCGGGGGATATTAATTTTTAAGTAACATACAACATTTTCTTCAATGCTCCCTTTGAAAGCTCCGTTGCCTTTCAAAGGGAATCTATAAGGTGTTCCAATAGTCCACAAAAATCCTTAATCAAGGGCTGGGGATTTAGCTCTGCCTGGCAAGTGCAAGGTCCTGAGTTTGATTCCCGGTACCGGAAGAAAAACAAAACAAAACAAAACAAACAAAAAACCCCACAAAAATCCTTGATCAAAAAAGTCTACTAAAGTTATAGATTAAGTAATTGTTGTTTAAAAGGTTTATTGTCAAGTCAGCCAAATTTTTGCTTCTCCTTATTACTTTAATAGCAAACACATCGGCAAAAAATTACCTTGTCGTAATCAGCTGAGAGTTCAAACTCCTTCTTTATGATTTTTCTGACAATATCTGGGGGAAAAAGCAAACAGCAAAATTATTCTTTCAGTAAAAATATAAAACACAGACTTAGATTAAAAAAAAGGCCTATATGTGCTTACAAATTATCATACACATACAGTATTCTTATAATTGCATTTCTTTTCCTAATGTCGGTAAATAATTAGATTAATGGGCCTCTGGCTAGAAGCAAAGGACAAACATTTCCCATTTTTGTGAGGATGCCGATTTTATTTTTTATTTTTTTGTCTTTTTGAGAAGTCTCACTATGCAGTTTAGGCTGGCCTTGAATTCACTTTGTAGTGCAGGCTGGTCTTGAACTGTCATTGATCCTCCTGCCTCGTTTCCCGAGTGCTGGGATTACAGGTGTGTGCCACCATGCCCGGCTAAGGGTGCCCATTTTAAAGAGTTCACAGTTTCTCACAATATACCTTAATATTACCAGCAAACCACAGGCAGCTCATTAATAATCACCGCTAAAACAGTACTGTATGTTAAAATTGCTAATTCTTTTTTTGTTGTTGTTTTTTCCAGTACCGGGAATTGGACTCACGATCTTGCACTTGTAAGGCTGGTGCTGTGCCGCTGAGCTAAATCCCCAGCCCTTAAAATTGCTAATTCTTACTCGGAATCACAAATACAATTTATTTTTGAAGTCCACATTTACATGATTTATATGAATGAATCTTAGAATTAACCTGCCTCAAGAATTACTAACGCTGTGATCTCAGCACTGTTGGAGGCTGAAGCAAGAAGACAACAAGTTGGAGCTTAGCTCAGGCAACTTGTATAGCTACTCAGCCAGACCCTGTATCAAAAACTGGAAGGGAGGAAAGGCAGGGGTGGTGCTGGGGGCGCAGCTCAATGCAAAAGCCTTAAGTCCAATCCCCAATACTGCAGAAGACAATGACAAAAAAAATCTTAACATGGGAAATCCCTCTCTTCTAAGCAGTATAGGAAAACCTGGAATTAATATGCAAATTTAGATTTTTCCATACATGTTTATTTGGGGCATTTTTAAATTCTGACATAAGTTTCGATGAAAAGAAGTTAAAAGCCATCTCTAACTCTCAGCTACCACCCCGGAATGTGGGGTCAACTGAGGCAGAGTCAACAGTACTCAGAGGAGAGCTGAGCAGATGTTTAAAGATTCTGCAGCAAGAAAATGGCTTTTCTACCTGGGAGCAACCCTGGGGGCTGGAATGATTCCTCCACGGTACCTGAGGGGCCGCAGGGAGCTGGGGGCTGCCACCCACGCCCTTACCGCGGCCCTGCGCGCACTCAGCCTTGTTTTGGTCTGTCCCACACGCCAGGCTTCTGTTAGAATACCCCTGGGTGAATTGTTCAACTGCTAATTTTTTAGAAGATGAATAATCATCTACTTAATTAATAATAATTAATTATATACTCATGTTCATAGTATGTTCTGATCTGGGATTTTTATCCCATGAAGAGTTAAAAAGGAGTCCAAGATCCATCCCATATCTAATCCTAGGTGAGTAATTAACTGCCACAGGTATTTGTGTCTGCAAAATGGGGTGAGGTCCCTGCTTTCAGAGGATCATGTAGGGTTAAGTGACATAACACTGCGAGTGAAACAGTATGCTGGGACGAGGTGTCCTCTGTCGTCCTTACTAAAGGCAGGGACTTAAAGCACACAGATTACAGGACAGTATACATGTGTAGTGTGAGACACCATTATTGTGGCAGTGCAGTATCCATTCAGCTTTTCTTTTCATTAAAAAAAAAAATCAGTATGGAGAGTCCTCAAAAAACTAAGACTAGAAATGCCATTTGACCTATCTGTGCCACTCCTGGATATATTCCAGAAGAATTAAAGACATCGTACTGTAGTGATACATGCACATCCATGCATGTAATGGTGCAATTCACAATAGCCAAGCTTTGGAAACCTTCTATATCGTAAGTTTGATCCCAGTCTGGGCAACTGAGTGACTTAGTGAGAAACTATCTCAAAGTAAAAAAAAGCTGGGAATGCAGCTCAGCAGGAAACCTCTGATTTCAATCCCCAGCACTGCACAAAAAGAAAAAAAAAATCTCCATTCAAGGTATGAATTCTGGTACTCATAAAAGAGAATGCATGAAAAGGCATTTAAACCCACAAAAACCACTTTCAAATAAAGTTCAGCACAGCGTGCATGAAGTATTCTTCCAGACTGCTTCTCATCCATGCATCTACCGTGTTCTAGCATTCCCCACGGGCCTCCCATACTTCTACAAGCCTCCAAAAGTTTTACTACCTACGGATTTTCCTAATCTACAAAACACATGTTCATAACCAGTTCAAACCACTGATTCCAGCATGTCTCCGCTGCCAAAAAATCCAAGGAACGTGCTCTTAGGTAACAGTGCTTTCCTGGGAAACATGTAAGAAACAGGAGCCGAGGCTAACTTGGCGGAAGGTCATGGCACAGCCTCTTAAGAGTTACGTGATCAAAATACCCTTTGACAAGGGTTGCGCGTACCAGATATCAAGCCCAGGCCGCTCCTTCTAAAGGAGAACGCAGATTAAAATCAAGGTTTATATACCCACATCAGATTAAAATCAAGGTACAGGTGAAAAGATAACTTTCCCATGGCCTATGTGGCCACCAGCACGTTGGCCAGAGCTGCTCAGGGAAGGCTCTCAGCTGACAAGCAGAGATAATTCACTGTGATTTAATCTTGTTGTCCTCACTGGTGCGGGTTTGCAAGATGTGGCTTTTATGCCTCAAAACTTTCTGATTCAGAATTCTGAAATGAAAATTGCTCTTCTCTGGACAGTTAGATATCTCATTACTTGAAACAAATTCAGGAATTTTCTAGTTATTTGGATAGTTGCACTCAGTTTACCTTTTATCGAGAAAAAAATTTAAGGAGCCAACTTATTGCACATATATTTAAATCTACATTGAATCAGCATAGTGAATGTGATCAGTTCTGACAACTGACAGATTAACAGAAAAAGAAAGCAAAACACAGGAATCTTGCTGAAGCAGTTTATTTTAATTTAAGGAGCACAGCCGGGCATGGTGGCACATACCTCTGTAATCCCAGCACTCTGGGAGGCTGAGGCTAACCCTAAACCCTAACCTTAACCCCTAACCCCTAACCAACCTGGGCAACTCAGTGAGATTCTATCTAAAAACAAAACTTTTAAAAAGGGCTGGGAGTGTACCTTGGTGTAAAGGTCCTGGGTTCAATCTCCATGCAAAACAAAAAGCAAAAGCAAAAACCCACAAATATACACATCTACCTATGTCTGATTTCTTTCACTCAGCACTATGGTCTCAAGGTATATCCATTTTCCTACAAATGATTCAAATGTATCCTTCTTTATGACTGAGTAGTACTCCATGTTTATATATACCACATTTTCTTTATCCATTGATCTACTCATGACCATTTCCAAGGCCACTTCCAAGATTTAGCTATTATGAGTTGTGTTATTGACTCTATTTCTTTATTTAGGTGCTAGAGATGGAACCCAGGACCTTGTGCATGCTAAGCTCAACCAGAGTGCTCCAACCTACATGTTGATGTCTTAGTTACTTTTCTCCCATTGCTGAGACAAAGTATTCAACATCCACAAGTTAAGGGAGGAAAGGTTTATGTTGCCATAGTTTATAGAGGCTTCAGTCCATAATCAGCTGGCTCCAAGGCAGGGTGGCTTCACAGAGGGAAACAGTTCATGGTGGGTAGAAGGTAACAAAAGCACCAAGGGAGGGCAAAGAGGAACCTCTTTCTGTCCCTTATATTGCATCCAGGCTATTGGATTAGGGTGGTGACAAACCAGTGTACTGATTTAGTAATCACACACCCTTAAGCCTAGCACCCTGAATCCTAGCATTGCACCGTGAATCAGTCACACACTAGAGATCCAGCCACCTCTGAAAAAGCTCCACCTATGACCACATAAGACTCTGCAGGGACATCCAGACACAAGCCATAACAGCTCACTTTTACTTTAGGAGGAAAAACTGAGGTTTCCCAAGGATGAAGAAATTGTGCCTCACGACTGTTACATCAACTCCTGCCTGAGTCCTCGGCCAGCCCTGCAGACGTCAGACTTGCCAACTCCCACAGGGCCTTAGAATACACCTCTTCTCTATTTAGATAGCTCTCTTATTGGCGCTGTCACTCTGGAGGACACTGACAGGTGCTGCCAGCTCTTTCTAGTGTTAGGGGACTGAGAAGAGTATGCATTTAGGGAGAAGCTCAGCCTTCCTGTGTTCCCAGCACTGGGGAATCCAGTATGTGAGCTCCCCAGAACCTGAGCCAGTCGATGACCAGCAGGCACTTCCTCTGAAGTGAGGCCGCTGCCACCTACCAGGAGCCTGTGCTTTGGGAGTTTGGAAGGGTAGGCACAAGTCTCCCTTTATGTTTATTTCTTTTCTGCAATGTTGGGAATCAAACTCGGGGATCCAAACATGCTAGGCAACTACTCTACCACTGAGCTACATCCTTACCCCACCAGGCTACCATTCAGAGACACGAGTGCTTCCCCTGAGCACAGACTTCTACTAGAATAAATGACGGCACTCACTCTCTGCATAAAGAGCTTGGAAATGCTGCTACAAAGGAAGCCCTTCCTGTGAAAACCCTGTGACTTGCCTGGTCCTTTCAGCTTTCTGCCAGTCACATGCTCACACCCCTATGTCAAGGAGACTGGCTTTACCTGGTCACAGCCCAGTCCTGGGTCATTTCCAGGTCTCCAGAGGAAGCAATCAGGTTTCAAAGGCCTGAGAGAGGCTCTTGAAGTCCCCTGGAGCCGGGAATGCCCGGGAAAACTGCCTTCCAGATAGGATTTGGGGCTGACATGCCTCTGGGATGGTGGGGCGCAGAGAAGCTGCTCCCCTACAGAGATCGTCTGCAGCACTGCAGTACAGCCCTGCGAATCCAAGCAAAGCAAGGACCACTGCCAACATATTTGTGGGTACCATGTGTATTTCCCCCCATAAAACAATCCTAGGAAACATAAATCCACTTTTAGCACCTACAGTCTGTGTTCT